GGTTGATGGACGATTGCAAAATCAGTAACATCTATTAACTCCCCATTCCCCACACCCAACAAGCAAAGCAGCAGAATGTCTCTGGGGTTTAACCAGTTCTCTAAGGGTTAAACAGTTCTTAAAGTCTTCTCTGCTGTGGAAACGGCTGGCTGGCTCCTTGGTGCTCTTGTCAGGGGGGCCTCAATGGAGATGCAGATGACATCCTTCTTTGAGGTGGGTCTTCAGTTAATGCTGGCTCCCTCAGGCAAGCACGCTCCAAAGATGGAGAAGTAGGGTCGAATTAGTTAGGCTGGAATCCATACTGGAGAGCTTTTGACCTGTAACACAGACTAAGACTCTAGCCCCTTGGTTAGTCACGTAATAAAGAAACATTCCAGCATCCTAACATGATACCCCCCCCCATTCCAATCATGCAGATATTTTTTTAAGAAGAAAAATTATTGGCTGGATGTCCAAGAGTAGACTCAAGGAATGACTGAATCTAGGGACTGAATCTGGCGCTATAAGATAAGTTCAGGACTGCAAGGTTGGTTTGAACGGCAAGGTTGGTGGTTCAAACTCACCATTCGTTCCTTGGAAACCCTATACGGTTTGCTATGGGTGGGACACAGCTTGAGAACACTTAACAACAACATCAGATCTCCTCCTTTTTCCCTTTCTTGGCTTCACTTCTAGCCATATATGAATTTCATTCTTAGTCTCTCTCTGCATGTTGGGAAAGGAGGCTACTGACCACTCCAAAGTTACATCCTTCTGACTATTCGTAAGGAAAGAAGACCCTCTCTCTTCTGTGGTTCATTTACCAAATCACATGGAATGAGTTTGATTGCCCCTGGTTTCAAGATCACATGCCCATCCCTGAACTCCTAGCTGCAATCAGTGAGTAGCCCAGCTTGAGTCGTGTGCCCACTTGATCCAGAGAAAAAAACTGACATGTCTTGATTGCACAGATAGCAACTTGTGTCTTGATTGTTCTGAAGGCATAGCTCATATCTCATTTTCTATAAATATCAGGAGAAAATGTTGCTGGAATAAAAGCAAACACCTTACTTCATTCTGCTTACATCAGTCACTTACATTACTTTGCTCTCATTACACCCTCAGATTTTTTCATCCGTATCTTGTCTCCACAGCTAAACTGTAATAAGCTCTTCCAAGAATCCTGGTTTCTTTTTATTCTCTATGCCTTCCTCTCCCACCTGTTACTCTTCACTTATTTATTCTTTCTACACATTTTTTATTTAGTACCTGTTACATGTCGGAAACCCGTACAGGGTCGCTATGGGTCGGAACCGACTCGACGGCACTTAACAACAACAACAACATGTTGTGCTAAGGCCATATTTGGGGCCCTCAGTTATATGAAGTTCTCATTCGGATCCTTGAAAAACCCAGTCATGCTTTCCCTCCTGATTTATGTTTGAAAAGGTTACTCTACCTGCTGTGTGGCAGTGGCCTGAAGGGGTCAGGAAGGGAAGGCGCACTGGAGGTTATTGGGGTTATCCAAGCAGGAGGATGTATGGTGTGGATTGTTGAAACAGGATATAGATCTGGAATAATGTACATAGATCTGGGGCATGCAAGTGGGCTGTGGGTAGGACTCTGGAGCAGAAGGATCTGGGAATGTGATGGGTTAGTGGTTGGGAGGGAGGCCAAGTGTTTGGCTGCCTCTGTTCTGCCCCACATACCTGACAGCTCCTAGAGGGCAGGGCAATGTCAGCTGTCATTTTCAGTCCCCTTTATCCTTGTCTCCCAAGAAGCCCAGAAACACCTGTGCTGAGTCTGATGCTCCTGTCTGTGTTACAGCCAGCCTTGGCTGCCATGGCCATGGACACAGCCAGTCCTGGCCACCTTGCTGACGATGTGCTTCTCTCCTAGGTGAAAGAGTGGCTCTGTCTGAACTGCCAGATGCAGAGGGCTTTGGGGATGGACATGACCACGGCGCCTCGCTCCAAGAGCCAGCAGCAACTGTACTCCCCAGCTCTGTCTCCTGCCCACTCCCCAGCCAAACAACCCCACGGGAAGGGGGAGCCAGAGAGACACCAGGGCCAAGGAGGGCCACAGCCCAGTCCCCACCAGGCTGAGACAACCAGGGCAACCTCAGTGCTGGGACCTGCTCAAGCAGCTGCCCCTCCAGAGGCAGGGAGGGTGTCTCCTCAGCCCTCTCTCCCCACCAAGCCTTCCACAGCTGAGCCCAGGCCACCTGCAGGAGAGGCTCTGGCCAAAAGTGCCACTGTAGTACCCTCTGGATCTGGTGCTGCTGAGCAGACACAGGAGGGTCTCACCGGGAAGCTTTTTGGCCTTGGTGCATCATTGCTGACCCAGGCAAGCACCCTCATGTCTGTGCAGCCCGAGGCTGACTCCCAGGGCCAGCCTACCCCCAGCAAGGGGCAACCCAAGATCGTCTTCAGTGATGCCAGCAAAGAAGCTGGTTCAAGACCTCCGGGCTCAGGACCTGGGCCTGGGCCAGCACCTGGAGCCAAAACTGAGCCTGGGGCTAGAACAGGGCCTGGATCAGGGCCTGGATCCCTGGCAAGAACTGGGGGGACAACCAGTCCAAAGCATGGCAAAGCAGAACACCAGGCAGTGTCCAAAACTGCTGCCAAGCCAAAGACCATGCTGAAGGAAAGGGCTACCTGCCCGCTGTGCCAAGCTGAGCTCAACGTGGGCAGCAAGGGCCCAGCCAACTATAACACCTGCACCACCTGTAAGCTCCAGGTGTGCAACCTGTGTGGCTTCAACCCAACACCCCACCTGGTGGAGGTAAGAAAGCCAGACCAAGCATGTTTCTTTGGATCTTGGTGAGAGGTCAGGACCTAGTGTAATTGGGCACCTGAGAGCCAGTGAATGCTGCAGAGATCTGGGTCTTCAGTGGGAACACAGTTACCACTGAAGAGGAACTATGCTCCCTTTCTTGTCCCTGTCCCAGAACCAAGTATTAGCAAGACTCTGGCAGGCAGAGACTCAGCCCTTCTACTTGAAGAATAACTTGGACACTGTGAGGAGTGGGGTAATAGTGCCTTTTACTTCTGACTGGCTTACCAGTGCAATTAGGCTGGTCCCAGATGCAATTAGGCTCATGAGCCACTGAGGTGAAGGGCCATGTATTCAGCCGCAACCATCTCTTCTGAGGTCATGGGTGTTAAAATCTACTTGTTCAAAGCTACAGCCTCTGGTCTGTGTATTTTTCTCTGGATGCTTGTGGAGATTCTTAGAGGTGCTCATCTTGCCCTTAGGAAAGTTTGAGGGAGAGCTGAGGTTGGGGCCATTCTCTGCAGTCCCCATTCCAGGGAAGAGTACTAGACACTGTGCAGAGCTGGCCACAAGGAGCAGAAGGTCCATTGTTCTCTAGAAGGTTGAGCTTATTCTGCAGGCTTAGAGGGTGTGGAGTTACCTGGAAGAGCTTGGTCAGTCTGGGCCTAGAGGTTGTTCTAACCCTACCCTACCCGCTTCCGTACTCTCCTATGCCCAGGGCTACCCACATGAATCCCACCATGGCTGCTTTGGGCATACACCAAGGTATTCACTTTCCTAGAGTGCCCTTGGAGCTTTTATTTGGGTCCTTTTGGCAGGTGGATGTGTTTCCCAGAGGCATCATTCCAGATGGTTGAGCTGAGACCTCTGCCTCATGTACACCTGAGCACTTTAGACTCCTGAGCTGAGCCATGTGATAGTACGGCAGTGCAGAGCACCGCTAGCCCAGGATAAGATAAATAAGGCAAGCATGTACCACTGTGACCTCAGTGGTATCTTGTCCTGAGTTTCCTTGAGCCAGGACCCTATTGGCAATGCCATGAAAATCACTTATTACAGCAAGGACTGTTTGGGTCACCACAGGCCACACTTTCTTACATGTCTTAGGAAAGGACAACCCTAAGCAAGACAGAGGACCTCCTTATGTGATGCCCATGTGTCTTCCAGAGTACACACTGCTACTTCCCCAAGTTCTAGGTCTAGAGGCTCACTGGAGGGCAGTTGATCTGATTGGCTGAGAATATTAAGAGATCACCACAAAGTTGATGGTACCCCAGAGGGCTGCTCTGCCCAGAGATTGCCAGGTACATGCCCATTGCTGGTTGAGTGGGGCTCCTGATGCTGAGAGACAGTGAACCCCACGGGTCTGCTGAGCTGACCCAGCCTGGAGGAGCCATGTTCCCAAGAGACCTGCCAACCTGCTCTCCCTCATTAAGGAGGATGTGCACAGAGGAATGGGGAAAGCTGTCCCTGTCCAGGAGTGGAAACATTCCTGACAGCTCCTTTCAGCAGCCCCTGAGCCATGCCACAGGAAATGCTGATTTGGCCTAAACAGAAGCATTTCAGTCATAAGCAGACTCTGGAAGAGGCTCCTGGAATCTGACCTAAGCCTCTCATTAAGTGGCTTGTTTCTGGACTTCCTGAATCTCAGAGCTTCTGCCACTCGATAGAAACACAGTGTTTCTTCCTACCTCACTCCTACTGTGTCCATGTCCTGCATCTCCTTGGCTAGGACAGCCATGTCTCCTCAGGGTTTGATGCATTCCATGGGCCTTTCCAGCTCTGAAAGCAAAGCTGATGGATGCCTCAGCTTCTGCCCACCTCAGACCCTCTGCTTCCTCGCTTGCTTATCCTATTAGCAGTCAGAGCTTTTCTGACCTATGGCTGCTCCTGGGGAAGATTCCCTTCATGGAGACTGTACCACCATCAGAGACTTAAGCCAGTGGCTTGGGGACGTCCTCAACTCCTCCTCTCTTGCCTAAGCATCCAGTCCACAGACCAAGCCCTGCCACCTCTGCCTTCCCACTGTCATATGAATCTGGCTACCTGCTCCATCCCTGTGACCAAAGTCCTAGTCCAAGCCAATTTCCTGTCACCTAGACAATGGCCAAAGTCTTGGGTCTTTTGAGGGGTTGGTGGGGAGGGCCTGGCGATTAACGTTGCTTTTCTTCACTGAGACCTTTAACCAGGCCAGGGGCCTTCTGTGATCTCAATTCAGTGAGTGGCCAGTTGACATTCTGAGCAATTTTATGTTTCCCTGTGACCTACTTTATGTGTTCTTGGTTAGAGGCTCCTGATTTCTCAGCAGGGGCTGCAGATACTCTTTCTGCCTTGAGAGCAAGGCGGTCGGTTGGACCAGCAGGCCCTTCTTTAGGTTCTAGAGGGCAGTTCTGCCCTGGCTGTCCCTCCCCATAGCTACTTGATCAAGGACAGCCTGCTAGACTTCGAATAACCATGCTGTGTCTCTGTGTGTGGTGTGAGGCAGCGTCTGCATTCAGGCTGGTGGCCTAAGGGAGGGACAGAATAGGGAGCCCCACTCACATCTCCTCATAGACTGCTTAGGCCTACTGTGGTTTCACCTTAGGCCTGAGTCAGCTATCTGGGTTGATAGGTTTGAATTTTTCTCAACATCTCTCAGCTGTCAAAATCCTCTTATCCTCTTACTAGAACATACGATAGAAGAGGCAGCAAAGCTGGATCCCTTTTTCCTTTGAAACTTCCTCTGAAAAAAATAACCCTAGTGCTATTTAGTGAGTCATTTCATAATTAAGAGTTGTTGATTCCAAATTTTTTTTACCTATTTGTCTTTTTGAAGGATAATAGTACCCTTTGGCTTAATTTTTAATTGGCCTTCAGTTCAAAATAGAGTTTGTGAAGAAATTAGTGGAATTAGAATTGTTACAGTAACATTGCTGTAACATATATTATGTAACATAACATTCCTTATCTTATTATAATAGCCAAACTTCAGTCCCGCCCTTGAGAAGTCAGGCCTCCCTAGGCAAAGGGCCTGGCACCTGTGATTTGTGGGGCTAGGCTTATGCTGTGCAGAAGCGAGGGCATCTGGGCGCGAAGCCAGCAGCAGTCTCTGCTCCAGACCAATCTCTGAGATTCTTCTGGGGGATAGTGATCTCAGGGAGCTGTCACTTCCCCTGTACAGTGGGGACAATAATTCCTCTTAGGTTCCTGTGAGAGCTAGGGAAGATGATGTACCTCAGATGTTTATGCAAGATTCAGTACATATCCTCAAACCAGGACATTGAAACCAGAGTGCCCTAAAAGAGAGTCTTTGTGGGAAAAGAAGAGTCCTACTAGCCCCTGACTGTGGGAAGTGCAAGGCCTCACAAAGTCATGGCCTTACAAGGGATCCCACAGGGCATGAGGGGAGCATAGCCCAGTCACAAGGACACATACTAGGGACATCAGAAAAGATTCTTCCTATAGGAGGCAGAGGCCCAGAAAGGAGAAGGTTAGGCATACATGGGGGCCAGGGTTGGATAGGGTTGTAGAGCCCAGACAGAAGCAGCAGCACCATGATGGTCATGCCTGTGGTCCAAGGTCTGAGTCTTGCCCCTTTTACTTCAGGCATCCTGCTCTTTTGATTTCTCATTCCCTGCTCCATGGTCTGACAATGGGGCTAGGGAAATGTAGAGCCAGGCAGCTTAGCCATAGGGTGTTGATCAGGTGGTGCCACTGTAACCAGATTGACTCAAAGGCCAGCTCCATAAATAAAGAGCTAGTGTGGGATGTAGTCTCCTTCAGAGACAGTGCAGGGAAGATGCCCAGCATCTAGTACAGCTCTGCTGTCTCCCCTGGTGATGGGGCACACTGGTGATGGCAGTACTCCTCTGCTTGTGAGATGCCTCACCAACACTCTCAACCAACTCACTCCCCTTCTCCATCATACATAGCGACACATTGAACTATCTGGCTCCATTGAGGGCAGATACACCTACACCTCTCACTTTCCTTCAGGTAACACGTGCCTTTGGGAGAGTCATAACTTCCTGCCATCGGAATGGAATTGGACAGAGGGCAGAGGGACGTGAGCCTCCCCGTTGTCCATTCCCGGGTCCTAGTTCTTCTTCTGCCTGTAGCTGAAGTAGGCAAGCAAGCAGCAACTTCCTCAAGTTTTGGCTGAGCTAGCAAGAGTATGAGAGAGAATATGCAAATGAATGAATAAATGAGGGAGTAAACACTAAAATGAGGAAATGAATGAATGAATGAACGAATGAGTGGAAGACCAAGGGAATGAGTGAGCAAGGCCCCCGTTCCAGCCCCTCGAATATTACTTTTATCATAAAAAGGAATGTAATGTTGATATGTGGTATAGCATGGATAAAGTTTGAAAACATTATGCTAAGCGATTCTACTTATAAGAAATGTCTAGTTGTAGCAAATCCATGGAGACAGAAAGTAGATTAATTGTTGCCAGAAACTGGTTGGGAACAGGGAATGACTACTGACATGTATGAAGTTTCTCTTTGGGGTGAATGAAAATGTTCTGGAACTGGATAATGATGATGGTTGCACAATTTTGTAAATATACCATAAACCTCTGAATTGTATGTTTTTTGAAAGGTGACTTTTATGGTATGTAAATTATATATCTCAATTTTTTTTTCAAGTGGAGATTAAATGTATCTCTCCGTTAGAGGGGTGACCAGCAATGAAGGGGTAGTTAGCAGAGCTCTCAGCCACCAGAGGAGAGGAAGCTGCCCAAGGTTCCTCTTACAGGGTGGGCCACAGCTTCCTGAAGGACAAAGACATGGTGTAAGGAGAGGAGCGTTGGGGATTTGCCAGCAGCAGGAGCAAACAGCACACACCAGAGCAGGCTTAGCTCCTACCTCACATGCCTCCTCCTCCTGCCCTCACTTCCTTGCTGCCTGCTAGAACCGAGCCAGGAGCAGCATCTTCTGCAGGCTGTCTGCCTCTGCAAGCAAACATGAGAAGGAGTGCAGCCCTGAGGAACTTGTGATCACAGGGGCCATGCTTTCCAGAGGGCTGGG